ACACCCCATTACAACCAAACAGGAGCCTGAGAATGAAGCTGAACAGCTTCACTCAGATATTGTAATAGCTTTCAACAGCAGTTGCCCCCAAGGAAAGGTAAAATCCAAACGAGATGTGCCTTGGTGGAGTCAGAAGCTTGAGCAAATGAGATGCCAGGCCAGAAGACTATTCAATAGAGCAAAAAATACGGGTGATTGGAATCCGTATAAAATTGCGCTAACTTCCTACAACAAGGAGCTAAGGAAATCCAAACGAGCTAGCTGGCGAAACCACTGTGAGGAAATAAATAGCCTTCCAGAGGCAGTACACCTCCAAACAAGGGATTACAGGAATACAATTGGCACCCTTAAGAGACCAGATGGGAGCTACGCTCAGCATCCGGGTGAGACCAGCAGACTCTTGCTGGATACTCACTTCCCGCGCTGTATATCAGACTACTGTCGACCAGAATTGGGTACTCCAACATCCACCTCTGGAAGAGAACAAAGCCTTGCTACGAAGCTGTCCACTGTCGAGCGGGTGCAATGGGCTTTATCAACATTCAGCCCATACAAATTACCAGGACCGGATGGAATCTATCCATGTCTCCTGCAGCATGGAAGTAGACACATAGCGCCGGTCCTTTCTAAACTCTATAGAGCTTCGCTCTTGTTGGGTCACATTCCCAGCATATGGTCTGAGATTAAGGTCGTGTTTCTACCCAAAATGGGTAAGCCGGAACAATTACCGTCATCCTACCGACCAATTAGCCTCAGTTCCTTTCTTCTAAAAGGCATGGAGAAAATACTGGATCAGTACATCAGAGAAGTCAACCTAAGGGAACGATCTCTGAATAAGAACCAATTTGCCTATCAACCAGGAAAATCCACTGAGACTGCCATTCATAGCCTTACTTCAAAAATTGAGAAAACTCTGGAGTCAGAAAATATAGCCTTTTGCGCCTTTATTGATATTTCAGGGGCTTTTGATAACACATCATATAAGGCAATAAAAGATGCCTTGTTAAGAAAGGGTGTAAGCCCAATCATAAATCAATGGGTGTTATCAATGTTAAGAACACGAAACATCAGGTTGGAATTAGGAGGCACGATAGAATCGATAACAGCCACAAGATGATGCCCTCAGGGGGGTGTACTCTCTCCTCTTTTGTGGACTATGGTTGTAGACGAACTTCTTTTCACACTGAACAGCCAAGGCTTTAATACGCAAGGCTACGCAGATGATCTGGTAATCTGCATAACAGGGCTTCATGACGAAACTATCACCAACCGCATGCAACAAGCCCTACGCATCACACACAAATGGTGTGAGGATAAAGGCCTAACCATCAATCCTACAAAGACTATTATTATTCCATTCACTCGAAGGAGGAAATTATCTTTGAGCGGCACAGAAATAGAATTTTCCAGTGAAGCTAAATATCTGGGAGTAACTCTTGATAAAACACTTAACTGGAATGCACATTTGGACACTGTTATCAACAAGGCGATGATGGCCTTCTTTGCCTGTTCACGACTTTTTGGTAAAACATGGGGCCTTACCCCCAAAATGACCTACTGGTCATTCAACACTGTCGTTAAGCCAACAGTAACCTATGCTTCCTTAGCATGGTGGACTAAGGCTACACAAAGAGGTGCAAGCACTAAGCTAAGTAAATTGCACAGAATAGTTTGCATTGGCATAACAGGAGCTATGAAGACCTGCCCGGCCGATGCACTCAGCGCCCTGGTTGGAATACCTCCCTTTCCTATTTTAATAGAAAGGGAGGCTACCACAGCGGCACTGAGAATCCTGAACACCTCCGACCTGAAAATCGGAGATATGACGGGTCACATGAAGGTCCTAATGAAATTCGCTAATGACCCCATACTACAAATGCGCGATGCAATGGTTCCAAAACTAGAAATCTCTAGGAAATTTGAGGTACACATTGCAGATCGAGTTCTCTGGAATACAGGGAACCCATACACCAAACCTGGAGGATGGTTCCGTGCGCAGAAGTGGAAAACTTTTGACTGCCATTCACCTGGGAGTGGCCAGAAGCGATTCTTGTGCGTACGGTTCAAATCGCAGCTCACAACGTCCGGATATTTATATCCACGTATCCTCTGGGTAGCAACCAAACACCCGTTTGGGAGCGAGCTAAAGTGAGAAGGCGTAAAACTTCGCGTGCGCTGGGTTTGGGTCCCGCCACGTTAAAACCCCGCCCAATGAAAAATTCCAACAAGCCTCGGATGAGACCCCCTTTTTCTGATGACGACCACGGCAAACGTATAAAGGACTATGATTTAAGGGTATGCACCTGGAATATCCGGACCCTTAATGGGGAAGGTGCCTCTGCCCGGCTGGTTGATGTCCTCGGGAAGACAAAGGCTGACATCACCGCCATCCAAGAAATGCGATGGACGGGGCAAGGTAAAGTAAGCGTGAAGCCTTGCGACGTCTACTACAGTTGCCACGTAAAGGAGCGCAAATTCGGTGTTGGATTCGTGGTAGGAGAGAGACTCCGTCGCCGAGTACTGGCGTTCACCCCGGTGGACGAACGTCTAGCCACAATCCGCATCAAAGCTAGATTCTTCAACATCTCGCTCATCTGCGCCCATGCCCCGACGGAAGAGAAGGATGAGGCGTCCAAGGATCTCTTCTATGAGCGCTTGGAACGTACATATGAGAGCTGCCCCCGACACGATGTCAAAATCGTGCTTGGCGATTTTAATGCCAAGGTGGGCAAGGAAGGGATCTTTGGCCCCACTGTCGGAAAATTCAGCCTCCACGACGAAACGTCCGATAACTGACTGAGGCTGATCGACTTCGCCGGGGCCCGAAATATGGTAATATGTAGTACAAGGTTCCAGCATAAGAACATCCACCAAGCTACATGGCTGTCTCCAGACCGAAAAACGAGAAACCAAATCGATCATGTTGTGATAGACGGAAGGCATGCTTCAAGCGTTTTGGACGTACGTACACTCCGAGGACCAAACATCGACTCGGACCACTATCTTGTTGTAGCCAAGATACGCACCCGCCTCTGTGCAGCAAAAAATGTGTGCCCAACAATGCAAGGAAAGCTTAACGTCGAAAAGCTGCAATCACAACAGACGGCCAATTTATTCGCCACTCGACTCACACACCTGCTCTCTGAGAGCACTCTTCAACAATCCGACGTACGCGAGCAGTGGAACCACATTTCCCGATCATTAAGTACCGCCGCCGAAGAAGTAGTTGGATTTCAGCGAGCCCGAAAGAACAACTGGTACGATGAGGAATGTCAAGAAGCCGCAGAGAAGAAAGATGCCGCCTACAGGGCCACGCTGCGATCGGGCGCAACGCGAGCCATGTGGGACCGTTATAGGGAACTGAAGAAGGAAGCGAGACGTATTTGCCGCAATAAGAAGAGAGAGGCCGAAATACGTGAGTGCGAAGAGCTTGAGATGCTGGCCGGCAGGAAGAACGCCCGAAAATTCTACCAGAGCGTTAGGCGACTTACGGAAGGTTTCAAGACCGGGGCGAACTCCTGTAAGAACAACAATGGCGACCTAGTGACCGATGTCCAGAATATACTTAAATTGTGGAGGGAACACTTTTATAACCTACTGAATGTTAGCAGCGCTGAAAGTAGTGAGGAAGACGAACCCGAGTCCCCAGTCGATGATGATGGAGTAGCTGTCCCACCGCCTGATTATGACGAGGTACGTATAGCGATTACGCGGCAGAAAAACAACAAAGCTGCTGGAGCTGACGGCCTGCCAGCCGAGCTATTCAAGTACGGCGGCGAGGAGCTGATTAGGTGCATGCATCAGCTCGTATGCAGAATATGGTCAGATGAACGCATGCCCGACGACTGGAATTTAAGTGTGCTCTGCCCAATCCACAAGAAAGGCGACCCCGCCATGCGCGCCAACTACCGCGGAATTAGCCTTCTAAGCATAGGTTACAAGGTCTTATCGAGCGTATTGTGCGAAAGACTGAAGCCCACCGTCAACGAGCTGATTGGACCTTATCAGTGTGGCTTTAGGCCTGGAAAATCCACCATAGATCAGGTATTCACAATACGCCAAATCTTGGAAAAGACCCGCGAGAATAGGATCGACACACACCATCTATTTGTCGATTTCAAAGCCGCTTTCGACAGTACGAAGAGAAGTTGCCTTTATGCCGCGATGTCTGAATTTGGTATCCCCGCGAAACTAATACGGCTGTGTAAAATGACGTTGAGCAATACCACCAGCTCCGTCAGAATAGGGAAGGACCTCTCCGAGCCGTTTGATACCAAACGAGGTTTCCGACAAGGGGACTCCCTCTCGTGTGATTTCTTTAATCTTATGTTGGAGAAGATAATAAGAGCCGCCGAACTGAACCGCTCAGGCACAATACTTTATAAGAGCGTACAATTGTTGGCGTGTGCCGACGACATCGATATTATCGATAAAAACAAGGGCTACGTCTGTTCTGCCTTCTCGGGATTGGATAGAGAAGCAAAGCGAATGGGTCTGGTGATGAACGAGGACAAAACGAAGTATCTCCTGTCATCACACAAACAGTCAGAGCATACGCGTCTTGGCACCCACGTCACTGCTGACAGTTACAAGTTTGAAAAAGTAGACGACTTCGTTTATTTGGGAACCAGCATTAACACCAATAATAATGTCAGCCTTGAAATCCAACGGAGAATCACTCTTGCCAACAAGTGCTACTTTGGGCTGAGTAGGCAATTGAGAAGTAAAGAAGAGGAAGGCCTCCTCTGCGTTGGAAAGACCAGGTGGAGAAGGACTTGGCTTCACTTGGCATTTTCAATTGGCGTCAGTTAGCACAGCAGAGAAATGACTGGCGTGCTGTTTTGGACTCGGTCAAAATCGCTTAGGAGGTTACAGCGCCAATTAAGAAGAAGAAGAAGAAGACATACACCAAACCTAATGTGGAGGTTTGGTATACTGATGGATCTAAGCTTGAAAATGGTAGAACGGGGGCTGGCATTTTTGGGCCGAACTTTAAAAAAATGATACCAATGGTTAGCTACCCCACCATCTTTCAGGCGGAGATTCATGCAATAGAAATTTGTGGCAGAGAATGTCTTAGAAGGGGAACGTCATCGAAATATATCTGCATTATGTCGGACAGTCAGGCAGCCCTACTGGCCCTGAAGTCCCACAAAATAAGTTCTCAGCTAGTACATGATTGCCGCAATGTCCTAAATGCTCTTGGTGACAAGAATACAGTCTTATTAGGATGGGTACCAGGGCATGAGGGACATGATGACAATGAGGAGGCTGACTACCTAGCGAAACAGGGAGCTGCCGCAGTATTTTATGGTCCGGAACCCTTTTGTGGGCTCACCAAAGCACATATAAAGGGGACCATAAATAACTGGGTAGACAAAATGTTCAAGAGGCATTGGATGGAATGTCCAGGGCAAAGACAAGCCAAACGATTTATCTGTCCTTCAAACGAAGTTTCAAAGAAACTAATCAATTTAGGCAGAGAGGACCTCAAAACTCTCACTGGGTACTACACGGGACACTGTTCTCTTCGTTACCACCTCAGTAAAATCGATCTTTCAGAAACAAGCGTCTGTCGCTTCTGTGAGCTGGACGAAGAAACGCCAGAACACATTCTCTGTGAATGTGATGCTCTCGCTAGGCGCAGACTAGCCCACTTTGGTGGCGCTACCCTTAATCCATTTGAAATTTGGAACAAAACGCCCTTGGAGGTGCTAGGCTACATTAAGAGCCTTCCCATATAGGCCGGGGGCCACGCACAATAGACCACTTTAGAGGTCGCGGTGCATATGGCCCATAATAATAATAATAATAATAATAATCTGTACGAATCTTCATTACGAACGGATTCAATGAAGGTTCTCTACGAGTTTGGAACTTGTATTCGTAGCGATTCGGATTCTGTGATAGCACATTCGTAGATTTCACGAAAATCGAAGCTGCGATGGATTCTCTGGTAGCCCTGAATAATATCGCACACCTGGATCTAAAGTGAGCTAACTCAAAAAATCCGGAAATATAATTGCGAGTGGTTCCGTGCGCAGAAGTGGAAAACTTTTGACTGCCATTCACCAGTGAGTAGCCAGAAGTGATTCTTGTGTGTACGGTTCACATCGAAGCTCACAACGTCCGGATATTTATATCCACGTATCCTCTGGGTAGCAACCAAACACCCGTTTCCGCCATCCAAGAAATGCGATAGACGGGGCAAGGCAAGGTAAGCGTGAAGCCTTGCGACGTCTACTACAGTTGCCACGAAAAGGAGCGCAAATTCAGTGCTATATTCGTGGTAAGAGAGAAACTCCGTCGCCGAGTACTGGCGTTCACCCCGGTGGACGAACATCTAGCCACAAGATTCTTCAACATCTCACTCATCTGGGTCCATGCCCCGACGGAAGAGAAGGACAAAAGGTACAAGGATCTCTTCTATGAGCGCTTGGAGCGTATATATGAGCGCTGCCCCCAGCCAAGGTGGGCAAGGAAGGGATCTTTTTACGCCACTGTTGGAAAATTGATCCTCCACGACCAAACATTCGATAACGGGCTGAGGCTGATCGACTTCGCCGTGGCCCGAAACATGGTAATATGTAGTACTAGGTTCTAGCATAAAAACATTCAACATGCTACATGGCTGCCTCCAGATCGAAAAACGAGAAACCAAATCGATCATGTTGATAGACGGAAGCCTTGCTTCCAGCATTTTAGACGTACGTATACTCCGAGGGCCAAAAATCTACTCGGACCACTATCTTGTTGTAGCCAAGATACGCACCCGCCTCTGTGCAGCAAAAAATGTGCGCCCAACAATGCAAGGAAAGTTTAACTTCGAAAAGCTGCACTCTCAGCAGGCGGCACTCTTCAACAAACCTACATATGCGAGCAGTGGAACCACATTTCCCGATCATTAAGTACCGCCGCCGAAGAAGTAGTCGGATTGCAGCAAGCCCGAAAGAACAACTGGTACAGTGAGCAATGTCAAATAGCTGCAGAGAAAAGAGATGCCACCTACAGGGCCTCGCTGCGATCGGGTGCAACTCGAGCCATGTGGGACCGTTGTAGGGAACTGAAAGAGGAAACGAGACGTATTTGCCGCAATAAGAAGAGAGAGGCCGAAATACATGAGTGCTAAGAGCTTGAGATGCTGGCCGACAGGAAAAATGCCCGAAAATTTTACCAGAGAGTTAGGCGACTTACGGAAGGTTTCAAGACCAGGGCGAACTCCTGTAAGAACAACAATGGCGACCTAGTGACTGACGTGCAGAATATAGTTAAATTGTGGAGGAAACACTTTTCCCTGTTTATTAAAAACAGGCGAGATCACCTCCTCATCAGACTTGTTTTTCTAGACTTCAGCAAGGATCGAACCCGCATCATCGATGTGCAAAGTCAGAAGCGCTGATCCCTGAAAAATCAGCTATAACTTCTACCGCTTAGACTCTCTTGCTTTTTCCATTTTTCCCAATAAACATAACCGTGGTACAAACCTCAATAAATGTTAAAATATAATGGTAATAAGCCACAATAACATTGACTAAAACACAATAGTTGGTTTGCACTCATACGCAAAAAGTTTGATATATTTGGATGTAGAAAAATATGTTAGATTTTTGTCTCAGTCTGGTAGAAAATATTTTTTGTCGCGGCAACACTGATAAATATTTACAAAATTCGCCTTACCCCAGTTTAAATAATAAATAATCGTAGTATGTAGGTACTCGGTCCTCGAGCTCACTAATTTATCATCAATGGTTGACCACATTTCCGCGAATTGGGCGTTATTTTTTTGCTCGGCAATGGTATACTATGAAGCTATGCAATATTTGTCCGAGATTCTTTTACAGTTAGAAAATTTCGCCGCCCTACGTATTAGAGTCCAGCGCAAGTGTATTTGCCGCATTTCGTTCAATAAGTACTCCTTGCATTGTACTCTACTCCCAACACATTGTTACTCTTTTTCCGCATACATACACTACTTGGGGTTGAGAGAGTAAATACTTGACGTACTTCAAGCGAGAGTTTGTCGTGAACAGACGTGGTTTTGCTGCGCTCTAAGTTTTTCTTAAATTCGAGCTTTTATTTTTTGTCGCACAACAATTAAAATTAAAATTAAAATTGTGTTAAAGACATTGACTCTGTTTTTCTTTTCCTGTGCTTATCATTTTCTAATATTTGCTACATTATGCCCTGTTTTTGTGGCCATAGAGTTGAGCGCGCCCAAACTTCAGTGCAATGTAATCAGTGCAGAGAAATTTTCCATTTGAGTTGTGTTGTTGGTAGCCTGCCTGCCGACTTAAATAACCTAAATAATGCTGACAATATCTACATTTGTGGTTTGTGTGCTGCTGATCAACAAGACGAGTCTATGACTTCGAATAATTCTTCGTTACAACAACAACAAGCCACTCAAGTGCAAATGCCTAATTCCCACACTGCTAATGACAATTTTGCTGAGTTGAAATTACTTAACTCTAATCTTCTCTCTGCTTTGAATGTTTTGCATGAAGATAATGAGTGCTTACGACAAAAAACCGATTCCCTTCAAGCTGAGGTTCGTGACGTGCAGTGTAAGCTCAATGACAACAATTCCATTCTGTCTCATTTGCTCACACAATTTGAGAAACTGTGCAGTGTAAACAAATACAACTTCTCTTCATCTATGCACCCAGTCTCTTCTTGCATGTCAACGGGCGCTAATGGCTCTGCCGACGGCGCCGCTAAAGAGGCCGGGAGACTTTACAATCAGATTGAGACTGCATCCGCTATTCTTCTACCCTCTTCTAATTATGCTGCTGCTGCTAGCACTTCAACTGATACTGGCTCTGTCAACGTCGATGCTAATGCTGTTATTATATCAGCTGGTACAGCTACTCATCTACCGGCAATAATGCTGCCCAACGATGCTGCTGCTAACATTTCAACTGCGACGCCAATTCCTAACGCCCCTGCCTCTCAATTTTCTTCGCCTACTTCGGTTATTGTTGACAACCCTCCTGCAGTTGTTGGTAACCAAATCGAATGGAAAAGAGTACAAAATAAAAAAAAGAACAAACGAAGAAATAATAATAAAAACCAAATCAACCGAGAACGCGCTCCCAACAATGATAATGCTGAAGCAGGTACTAGCTCAAATCCGGATAGTGCTGAAAGCAACAATAATGCTGCAATTGCAAATACCAACATTAGACCCACCCCAAATAATGGTAAACAACATAATTTGCCTTTACTAGCGCAACCTTTAGTTGTTGGGTCGGCAATTCATGGTGATTTAAGTGCTGTTACGAAAAGGAAGTGGTTGCATATCTCGCCTTTCTCTGCTTCGGTTACATCCGAAAAATTAACATCGCACATTTCTCAACATACCGGGATAGACGAAAACTCTATCGTCTGTATTCCATTGGTAAAGGCTGGCGTGGATCCCAAATCTCTGCGTTATATTAACTTTAAGCTGGGTGTTGAAGCCAGCTCACTTCAAAAGCTATTGGTGCCAGAGCTATGGCCTACAAATATAGCTGTGCGGCCATTTAAATTTGGGTCAAAAAACGACGAGGTCCAACCGATGTCCAACGGCAATCGGTTGGGCCCGGTGGAACAATCAGTGGCCTAAAAATTTACATGCAAAACATGGCTGGTGTTAGAACAAAATCCCAGCTCTTGCGGCTATTCAGTTCACATCAGGATTATGATGTCTTCGTTATCATTGAGACGTGGTTAAATGAGAACTATAATAGCGAGGAGTTCTTCGACCCCAAGCTTTATAATGTCTTCCGCAAGGATAGAAATGCCAACCTCACTGGATGTGCTAGAGGAGGTGGAGTTCTCATCGCAGTGCACTGCAAACATCACGCTTCTGAGGTTGCACTTAATAATAATGATGCGCTGCTTGATCAACTTTGTGTTCTTATCCGAGGCACCTCAGACTCAATTTTTCTTTGTGCTTCGTATATTCCGCCCAACAGTAGCCATGACCTATATACAGCGCATGTCGACAACATCGTTGCATTGGCTCTGAACAAATTAGGAGGCGACCATCTTTGCGTGCTAGGCCATTTCAACCTTCCTAACATAAATTGGTCTCGGAATACTTCCAGTTCTTCATTAATAGCGGGTGATGTTACTAGCCTGAATGAAATATATTTAATAGATAGCTTTTTAAGCATTGATTTAGGGCAAATTAATTGTTACCCAAATCTACTTGGTCGCACCTTAGATTTAGTATTTTTAAGTAATAATTTAAACTACACATTGCTAAAATGCGATTCACCTGTGACGAAGTCTGACATGCATCATGTTCCGTTAGTCATAACTTTTGAATTTTATAAATTTGCCAAAGTTAGAAACGATACATCATATCTTTCTTTTAATTTTAAGCGTTGCAACTTTTTTGACTTGAACAATCTATTTCTAGAAATTAACTGGGATAGCTTGTTTTACAACTTAGACACTAACAGTTCTTTCGAGAAATTTAGAACAACTGTTGTGGATATATGTAAACAGTCTATTCCTTTGGTTTCAAAAAAGAAGTACAAAGTTCCCTGGCATAATGCAGCCCTGATGAAAATTCGAAATCTGAGGAATAAGTTTTTCCGCAAGTTTAAAAATAGTAAAAATATGGTGTTCTTCGAAAAGTATAAAGAGTTTGAAAAGAAGTTCGCTTGTCTAGATAAATTTTTTGCACAGAAATTACATTTTAAGTTTTGAAGAAAACTTAAAAACAAATCCAAAATCGTTTTGGAATTTTGTTAAG